CTTTTGTGTACTGCTCAATCTTGATCATGCACAGTCAATAATGATTTCCAGAAATGTTTCTGAAATAAAATGTCCTACCTTGAGTCTTTCTGGTCAGTCAGAGCATAAAAGGCGGTAAAGATTGTGAACAAATGATGCTTGTAGGGTTGTTATGTGAAGCGCGCCATCTACTGTTGAAGAAGACAACGTATGAACCGAACTGACAACCTGATTGGCTCGTTGCGATTTCAGTGGACAGGAGAAGAGCATTCATTGGTAATTCGAGTAACTGCTGGTGTTGTAAACACCGCGACGTAAATATTTTCTGCGGAGATGAGAATGACATGAAATACAGACAATGCATTTATATATGTTAACTGTGATTTTTCTGCTTAACAATCGATGTAGAGTTTTTTGGTAAAAGACATAATGGAGGTGAATGGCTTCCACTGTGACGGCGAGGGATGTGCGGAGGAGCAAGAGGAAGAACCGACAGCGCTCAGGCTGCCTCTATCAAAGACGAAAACGTCATGTAGCATAATTGCTACACCGGGTGCAGACAGCGCAGCGGCCGGCGGCAGTGCACTCCGAGAGCAGCGGATGTCAAAATCGACACCGGCGATGCTGAGGCTCGATTCGCTGAAAAAGAACAGGCCGCGTAGGTGAACCATCTTGTTATGGCGCTAGGTAACAGGGTTAACGGAGCTGATGCCACAGTGAAATCACAGTGATAAAATGTCAGATATAACGTTATATAAATTAAACCAACAGTCATACGTTTTATAGCCATTTTTGTCAATTTTTTGCGCTCGCGGTTGGCATCATACTATTGACTAACATGCAAAACATAACATACACTATACACTTAAATGTTTAGACGATAGATAACATTTAGCATTAAACATAATACAATTCATATATTTACTTATGGTATAACGTTAGCAGTAATACTAAAGTCTAATTTAATAAGCACTTAAGATTTTCTTGAGGAATCTTATATATCAAAAGACGACCCAGCACTGTACAATAACGTAATAAGTAATAACGTTTTATAACCAAAAATGTAATACTTAAGTGTGTGACACTTTTTTTTTTCTCAATTTTGTCGTGTTGACTTATTCTTCAAACGCAACCATTCAATCATGCTACTCAAGTTATTGTGCAAGGAACAAATATTTCTTTTTGATTAATGAGAAATGTTTTTTTTTCGAAATTACTTAAAACACTATTGTGTATTTGAATTTATAACTCTGTTACCTTTTATTTTTTTTAATGTATTATACATTTTGTCCCATTTTACTTACAAGGCTGAAAATATGCCAACCTCAATGAAAATTACAGAAAATAAAACTGCTCATATGTAGTTAAAAGTGAACTTTTTCCTAAAAAAGTGAAATGAGCTTACTCACAGAAAATGTTTAGAAAATGCACAAGGTATTGTAGTCACTTCACTATTATTGGTCCCCAGCTTTCCCATGGTTTGGCATGGACATTGGTGGCACATTGGTGAAGCTGGTCTACTTTGAGCCCAAAGACATTACAGCAGAAGAAGAACAGGAGGAGGTGGATAGTCTGAAAAGCATCCGCCGCTACCTCACCTCACACACCGCCTATGGCAAAACAGGTATACGAGATGTTCACCTGGAGCTCTCTGACCTCACACTTTGGGGCCGCAAGGGCAACCTGCACTTCATCCGCTTTCCCACGCACGAGCTGCCTGCCTTCCTGCAGATGGGCCGAGACAAGCATTTCTCCAGTCTGCACACAACCCTCTGTGCCACTGGAGGTGGTGCATTTAAATATGAAGATGGCTTCCGTACGGTGTGTCCAAGCTCACATTGCTGCAATTATATATATAATTTTATGTGATCTGTTTAAAGGAATAGATAGACCAAAAATGAAATGATGGCCTCAATCTGATCAAGATGTAGATGAGTTTGTTTCTTCATTGGAACAGATTTGGAGAAATTTAGCATTACATCACTTGCTCACCAATGGATCCTCTGCAGTGAATGGGTGCCATGAGAATGAGAGTCCAGACAGCTGATAAAAACACCCACAAGTAATCCACACGACTTTAGCCCATCAATTAATATCTTGTGAAGTGAAAATCCATCATTAAGATGTTTTAATTTTATAACACTTATAACCAAAATAAAATACGATTCCATAATCCAGAATTGTGATGTTTTTATCAGCTGTTTGGACTCTTATTCTTACGGCACCCAGGATCCAATGGTGAGCAAGTGATGTAATGGTACATTTCTCCACATCTGTACCTATTTAAGAAACTCATCTACATCTTAAATGGTCTGAAGGTGATTTTTGGTGAACTATTCTTTTAACTAATTGGTTCTCTATGCTGTCTTTCCTCTCTTAGATGGCCAATCTGCAGCTGTTGAAGCTGGATGAGCTTGAATGCCTGATAAAGGGGGTTCTGTACATTGACTCAGTGGTCTCAAGTGGTCCACCTGAATGTTACTATTTTGAACATCCAACAGACCCTGAGCGCTGCGAGCAGAAGGCATACAACCTGGAGAACCCCTATCCTCTGCTGCTTGTCAACATCGGCTCTGGTGTCAGCATACTGGCTGTATACTCCAAAGACAACTACAAGCGTGTTACTGGAACCAGGTTGGTCATGACTTAATAATATTGCAACAGTTTAACAAAATAAATGGGCATTTTACTGTAAAGCTATAGTAATATTTTCTGTCTCCCCTTTAGTCTTGGTGGTGGTACATTCCTTGGGCTTTGTTGCCTGTTGACTGGATGCTCCACCTTTGAGGAGGCATTGGCAATGGCCACAGAAGGGGAAAGTACACGTGTAGATAAACTAGTCAAGGACATCTATGGTGGCGACTATGAACGATTTGGCTTGCCAGGATGGGCTGTTGCCTCCAGGTACAGGCATATACACTAGCTTTTGAAAATTTTGGGTCTTTTTTAATGTTTTTAATGTTCTTAAATCAATCCAAATGAATTTAGGATTCTTTGATGAACAGAATAGAAAACTTTTGTATCATCACAAATGTTTTTTCGGACACTTTTGATTAATTTAATGCATCCTTGATGATTAAAATGTTTATTTTTTTTTACTTCTAACCCCAAATTATATCTAAACAATTACATTGTTATTCCTTATATGACACTGTTATCATTTTAAAATGGTTCTGTAATGACACTGATAATAGACGTGAATCAGTTTAATCAATATAATGTATGTGTATTTTCTTTTGTAGCTTTGGGAGCATGATGTGCAAGGAGAAGAGAGACTCGGTCTCCAAGGAGGATCTGGCTAGAGCAACACTTGTCACCATCACCAACAACATTGGCTCAATCACGCGCATGTGTGCACTTAACGAGGTACACGTGCACATCCACACTTTAAATCACCAGTATGTTGTCCTTGCCCTTGTCTGTCAGCCTCTTTACGGTGCTGCCTTGTGGAATCTGGATCAAGCAGCATTGTACAGGGCTATGAGAGACCAGGCGCCAATCAGCTCCTTGGAAACTCCTCTTAAAAGAATGACATTTTCAGAATCAATGCTCATTATGAGTTTCTTCCATTTAGAACATTGAAAGAGTGGTATTTGTTGGGAACTTTCTGCGAGTGAACACATTATCCATGAAGCTGCTCGCTTATGCTTTGGACTACTGGAGCAAAGGACAACTCAAAGCCCTGTTCCTGCGACATGAGGTGTGTGTGTGAGTCTTTGTAATTCCTCCAAAGCTAAACAATATCTGAACAAATCACTTCAAGTCATTTTATTTGTGTTTTTCAGGGTTATTTTGGTGCGGTTGGTGCACTTTTGGAGTTACCAAACCCATCCTGATCTGCTACTCAATCTTAGTTCACAGCTTTTACCAAAAGACAGAAATATTTATGCAAACAGACCAAAATTGCCTTCAAATATCAGACCATGCCCTCAACTATGCAGACCAACCTCTGACATCTTATTAATACCAAAACTATTACTATAATAACATCTCTTAAAAATATGCTATACAGTCAGGTTAAACAATCAGAATTAACTACATGCCTATACTAGTTTAAGGAATTACTGCAAACATCAGAACTGTTTAGAGCCTTTAACTTTTGAAAACAGTCAAACCACTTGATATGAGAATAAGCCAGTAAGATCTGATACTTTACATAGCTTAAGTCACAACCACGTGATTAGACATCATTTATAATGTGTCAGCTGTCATCTTATACTGTACTATCATTACTGGTTATGAACTGATATTGCATCAAGCAGAAGAACAGTGACTGAAACTTGTATTGTTTATGGTTGCTAGTGACAGTAATCATTATGGTACATTGCACTATTTTTGGGGCACAGACATCATTTACTCAAAAGCAAGCTGATCAGTCAAGCACTTTGCTCATTTTGCTCTCTTGTATATGTAACTGATGCAACATAAATGCAAAATTACTAAATATATTTTTTGTTGTAGATGTCGCAGTGAGTTCGGAATCAGAATTTCATAAATGTTATGTAGCTCATATTATGTTTGTAGAGAAACAGTGTTGTTTTGACAATTATTGCATAACGGTGTGAGAGAGAGAAAGGGACCAGGCAAAACTTTGACCTTTTTTCAGGGAGGGGAACAAAAAACTTTTACACTATGGATAAATCTCCTCCTCAAACCTGAGAACTGTTTTTTCTTCTTCTTTGGAATAACTTTGGTGACCCTGTTGCATAAACCAACACTGAAACAACATGTGTTCTGTTGCCTTCTCTTTATAGTCTGCGTACCTTACTTGCTCATTGCTCAAGTCAGTATAAATAATCAGTTTGTTCCTACACCAGCAAATAAGAAGTGCCTTGCGTTTTGTTTTTAAAACATGGAAAACAAGTATTGTTCTTCAACAAAAATGTTTATATATATAAAATATATAAATCACTATAAAAAGCCTTCTTCGTGCTTTTGACATGCAGAAACAATGACTTGATTAATTAAATTCTGATATTTTAAGTGGCACGTTATTTTTTAATTTAAATATTCCAGCAAATTTCACGAAGATCAGAATCCCCCAGCATGTATTTTTACAAACGTAGTACGTGCCTGAGCAGAAGAAAGTTCCATTATGCAAGTAGGAAAATCTTTTCCTGAACTGTGAAAGGGCTATGTGTTTTTCCTAAAATAAATCCTGCCCCTTTTCATTCGTGTGAAGTCGTCCACGAGTCAGCTCCACCTCTCCCCCTGTGCCCCCGTCTTCCATCGCTCTCTCTCCCACCCGCACGACTGTCTAGCTGGCAATTCACTGCCGTTACAGCCCGTTATCTCTGCTGCTCATTAGACGCTTTTCTTTGCTTCGTGCAAGGTCTGGGTTCTGCAGCAGGTACTCAAGTCTTTTCTGAATGCTTTTCTGGTTCTGTGCATAAATATAAACTGCATGAAACTGTGTGCCAAGACTGTGGAGAGACCGCTTAACTTGAGGTAAGGGGGGGAAATTATGATTTTTATTCCTCTGAGTATATTATTGAATAGTTTGATCTTTTTCGCAAAAGTGTCATAAATATTGTTGAATAGAGTAACGTTAACGTTATTTACTTGCACAGATATGATCTGAGATAAAGCAGCTGGACGCCAAGGAGCCTACACTTCCTCTATCACGTCCCTTTATTCCTCTCAGTTTTACAGTGAAGCTAATAAATGATGTCAAAGCATTTGCAACAGTTTTAAGTTTTAAATAACACTGATATCATTATTAAAACACTATTAGAGTTTTGTCGGAAGTTCCTTTTTCTCCTCCCCAACAGCAGTCTTCAACTGTCCAGAGAAGCTGAGCTGCTTGAACTACATTTGAAGTCATTTTAAATAAGTAGATTAACATCGGTTTGCATTTTGCCCTTACATGTTTATTAACCTGATGTTTGATAGTGAATTTACCTTGTGGGGTCCAGACCTGGCTGTGTCTCGCCGTTACCTCAGCATTTCTTTTGCCTGTTTATAGGCATTTCAAAGCATGATATAGTTTACCGATGATGTGAGTTATGGTTTTTATCATGTATTTTATGCCGTTAGTTTGATTTAGTTATATTTACCGTGGAAATACCATGTGCCGGTGAATCATGTGCCCCTGAGCTACTGGAGATCTGTTTTCAATTGCGCGCCAGTCTCTTTACTCCCTTGTATAATTGGATCCATCCAGGAAAAGTTGTTGATCTATTCAGTTTGACATATTTTACATATTTAAGTTTTACACATGTAACATTCTTGAAATTACTTAAAATACTTGTCTTATACAATTAAGCAGATTTAATAGGTATTTAATATGTAATATGCATTAGTTAGTAAGTGTAGCCTACTTTATTAGAAAGAAGACAAAGGAAGTATTGGTCGTGAAGAAAACAAAGTAAAAGGTAAATATCTCTTGTGCATAGAATAGTTATATTTGTCATTTCCAATCAAGTTGTTTTGTCAAATTATGCATATTTGAGATTCTAGAAAAAAATGTGTATTTAAGATTCTAAAAAAATTATAGCTATGAATTTCCTATAGGATGAAAAAGGAGCCATTTTATCCCAAAATTAAAATTCCATCACCTCATTTCCACAATACAATACATAATTAAAGTTGTGGTGTAATGTTAATGACAGAAATGAAAAAATTCTTTTGGGATACATGTATTCCCAGTGTGGGACATTGTTAATAGAAAAATTAAGTAAACTAACAAACAAGAAAACTGTGTTCTTAAAGAGTTTATTTTCTTAAAGTCTACTGGACCAAAAGTGGCCATATTTAAAGGAAATATTCATGAATCACCCTGATATGAATGTAAAGGCCGACATTTTTACCTGGATTAAAAAGATTGTATTATGACTTGATATTCAAATGAAGGCAATTCAAAGATCCAGTCCAGTCCACGAACTGACAGTATAGAAGGCCATGTGTTTGGGTAACGGGTCTGTACTCGCTCATAGCCAGTGGAGAGGGTGCTCAAGATTTACATTCCTCTGTGACCCACAGGCACCAGAGTGACTTGTCTGTTAAGCTGTTGTTATATTAGTGAAATCCCATCGCCGCACCAGTGAGGGGCAGTTATATCATCAACACAATTATCTGTGCAATGTCATACTATATACAAAGGGTTTAAACACTTCTGTCTACAAACATTATGAGTTGAACCTCATGTCAATCAAACACAAAGTCAGTGGGTGGCTCAGTAAAATGTTTTACTGCTTCCTCTAAAGTCAATATGCCAGCTATTGCAGGATGGCTACAGCTCATGCTGTTCAAAATATCAAAATAGGTTCATGCACATGAAAGTATTGAGTTTAGATGTTTATGTGATGGATGAGATGTCTGTGTCAAATGCAGTTATTGTTAGTTTTTCCTACTCACTCATTCTATAACAGTATACTCATTCTATAGCACTATAACAACTGGATCCCCCAGTGTGTGTTGGATACATGCACAGACATTTAATCTGTGGGTGAATAATCTCAAGAAAACATATCCGAGACACATTTTTTTCCGAAATAAATAGAAAAGGTACATAATTTTTTTTTATAAAGAAAACTATTAAAGTTTATTTCTAGGACCATTCAGATGTTTTGGATTATTTGTATAACATGATAATCATTACCGTAATGCTTCTGAATGCTTTTTTTTTTTTTTTTTGTAATAACCATTATTCATGATGGTGATTCTAATTATTAGATTCTTGTTACTGTACACTGCAAAACATGCTTTTTTCAAAGTTGTAAATAAATATTACTGGAGTACATTTTACAAGAAAATACTGTTTTAATTATGTATTTGTGAAATTTTATAGCAACAAAGTACATTTCTTTTAGTGCAGTATTATTATTTATTTTTTGTTGCATTACGTAATGATAAAGTAATTTTTTGCATTACGGTAATGAGAAGTGGTGATGGGGGTTAGTCACCTTGCTTAAAAATGATGTCACATGGCAGAAAATCTTCATGGTCCTAAAAATAGGCTTAATAGTCCTTAAACAGTACACATTTGGGGTGAAATTTGACCAGAAGTAAAATTACGGTAAATGCCTCTTGTGAACAGAATAGTTTTAGTTGTACGTCATTTTCAATCAATCTGTCATTTAATGATATCCAATTGTTGGAAATTCAAGAAAACATTTCCAAGACACATTTTGCTTTTTTGTGACATGATCATTACCATAATGCTTCTGAACATACTTTACTTTTAGAGGGTTTTTTGGAGAATAGTTATTTACTGTAAACCGTAAAAAATATTTTTTGAAGTTGTAAAAAAAAAGATAACTGCAGTATGTATTATTATTTCAGTCTTTCTGCTTCAAAATTAAACATTTAATGCAATGTGCATTACTTTGTAATTATTTGCGACATTTACTAGTAAAAAATAAGTCCTACTCATTTGTTTTAGTGTACAGTAATTTTTTTTACAGTACAGTAATGACAAATTACATTTTTGCATTACGGTAATGAGAACTAGGGGTAGGAGTGTGCTTAACATGTTCTGTGTGAACACATGATAGTGCTCAAATCAAAACATACTGACATTCACACAACAGTAACCACATGTTTTTCAGTATTTTTCAAACCTTCCCCTCTTTATTTCTGTTCCCTGCCGCAGAGCCGCACATGGAGCTGTGTCAGTGGTGGCGACACATTGTTGTCTTCCTACTTCATGCTTGGATTCCATCATGCTTTGCCCAAACCACACCGCCAGTGCGCTCGAGCCCCACACCGACCCCTCAGACAGCAGAAGGCCCGGAGACACTGAAGTTCCGTCTGTCTGGCTTCCCCAGGAAACACAATGAGGGCCGAATTGAAGTGTTTTATAAAGGCGAATGGGGAACCATCTGTGATGATGACTTCTCGCTGGCCAATGCCCATGTCCTCTGTCGCCAGCTGGGCTTCGTGTCTGCCACGGGCTGGACTCACAGCGCCAAGTATGGCAAGGGCACAGGTAACGTTCCTGCACGCATTCGCACACTCAATCAGAGCAGATATAAAGCAGTTTCTGTATGTGCTCAGAGAGTTTGTGTTTGTTGCAGGTAAGATTTGGCTTGACAATGTGCAGTGCAGTGGCAGTGAGAGGAGCGTGTCAGTGTGTAAATCTCGTGGCTGGGGTAACAGTGACTGCACTCATGATGAGGACGCTGGAGTGATCTGTAAAGATGAGAGACTGCTGGGATACGTGGACTCCAATGTTATAGAGGTAAAGGACCCTACACAGACACGATTAAAATGAAAAATTAAAATCTAACTGCCGTTGACAGAAAATATGAGAGAAAATATTTTACAAAATGTATTTTAACTGTACTTAAACAATATATTTTTGTCTATTTCTAAATTTATTTTAATTTTTCTTTTGTTTGGCCAGTGTTGTCTATAGCTTCTTTGCTAGTTTGCTTTTACTACTACCACTTTGTAACAATATTATTATTAAGTGTTATACAAATATATTTCAGTTTAATTGAATTAAAATAAGTTTCTCTTATATTGTACAGTAAGTATTGTTTAGTGCAAATAAATGGATTAATCACAGAAACCTGTGTGCCTAACATTGTTAATATATTCATGGCCCTAACTCAGATAGTACAAAAAAGAAATGTTGCTAATTTAACACCTAGTAAATATTTTCCAAAAAATAATTTAAAAACAACATGTTGTCTTTATAATAGAATACTTGCTTTTAGCATTTCTAAGTGTGGGAAATGGAGTTAAATACAATAACTTTTAACACAGTGGTATTTTAACTATAGCTTCTTTGCTAGTTTACTTTTACTACTACCACTTTGTAACAATATTATTATTAAGTGTTATACAAATATATTTCAGTTTAATTTAAAATAAGTTTCTCTTATATTGTACAGTAAGTATTGTTTAGTGCAAATAAATGGATTAATCACAGAAACCTGTGTGCCTAACATTGTTAATATATTCATGGCCCTAACTCAGATAGTACAAAAAAGAAATGTTGCTAATTTAACACCTAGTAAATATTTTCCAAAAAATAATTTAAAAACAACATGTTGTCTTTATAATAGAATACTTGCTTTTAGCATTTCTAAGTGTGGGAAATGGAGTTAAATACAATAACTTTTAACACAGTGGTATTTTAACAGCATACTTTTAATATTATTGTAGTTTTTTATTAATATTTTTAATTATGTTCTTTTTTCAGTTTTCATTTTAGTTTAATTTTTTAGTAATTTTATTATTTGTTATGGATTTTTTTTATTTTGTGATTTTTATTACCTTTTTAAAAATATTACTCTTAAGTGTAATTTAGATTTAGTACAGTTAATTTTTAGTTATTTCTAGTTGTCCAGTAAACTTAAACTAAGTTAGTTTGACAAGGCAACATTACTAATTTTTTAGTTTAGTTTAAAGGGGTCATATGATGCGATTTCAATTTTTCCTTTCTCTTTGAAGTGTTACAATCTCTTGGTGCATAAAGAAGATCTGTAAAGTTGCAAAGACTAAAGTCTCAAATCCAAAGAGATATTCTTTATAAAACTTAAGAGTCAGCCTCTCCTACCTAAAACGGCTCGTTCTAACGCGCCCCCACATACCTACGTCACTGTGTGGGAAGATTTGCATAACGCCGCCCAAATGTTCACGTAAAGAAAGAAGGCGTGACTTTTATTCTCGCTGTACTATTGTTGCTGCCGCCATGTCGTAAAGGCGTTGTGTGTTTCGTTGTGAAAGCGAAACTACTTTGTTTGGTCTTCCAAAAGAGGACACGACTAGAAATCAGTGGTTAAGTTGTATTTACAACAACGTTCCAGAACAGTTCAACCCAAATATTCAGATGTGTCCAGTGCATTTTATGGAGGACTATTTCCTAATCAAACAATAATGTACATTATGTGGAAAATAATGTGTTTTTTGAACCTTAAACCACATAAACACATTTCATTACACCAAATACACAAAATAATGTTCTTTTTAGCAACATCATATGACCCCTTTAAGTTTTTATCTAGTATTTGTATTTGTATGTTTTATTTCAGCTTAATTTTAAATACCGTAACAAAAATTTTTTAATAGTTTTAGTTAACGATAAAGACTAACATGCAGGAAACACTCGATGACTGAGCTCTGCATCTTTTTTTTGTCCTGCGCTGTCTAAAGGGGTTAAATACACTCCCATCTCACAAGCTTGTTCACGCTCTGTTCATGTTTGGTTGTCCATATGGTTTTTATTTTTTGCATCATGTGTCTCTCAGGTGCAGGTAGATGAGAATAAAGTAGAGGAGGTGCGTTTGCGTCCTGTGTTCACCATAGCGACTAAGCGGATGCCTGTCACTGAGGGGGTGGTGGAAGTCAAGAATAAAGACGGATGGGCTCAGATCTGTGATAATGGCTGGACACCCAAAAATTCACATGTGGTTTGCGGCATGATGGGATTCCCCCACGAGAAGAAGGTCAACAAGAACTTCTACAAGTGAGTGTTCATGACATGTTGAGGCCTGGATGTAGGGAAGGAATCGATTTTGTCCATCATCAGGAATTGATTGGATTGTGGTTGGCCATGGAAACACTTTTACACATTTGAATATTACTCTATTTAGACTTTGTGTGTGGCATCTCACTTTACTGTGGTAGTTTAGCCAATGTGAGAGGAAATTATGTTTACTTTCTCAGTCATCTGTGAAATGCAGCAACATACACACAGTTTAAACCACAGACAAACACCTGGACAAGGAAACCATTGCATAGACGTAGGACATTCATGCACACCAACTGGTAGAAAGTGCACTGTAGGGGTCTCATCCCAAAATCCAATGGAATGTTACAAGAATGTTCCACTTACATGAATAAGCCCTATGCAGTACAAATTTACACACATACACTTAGACAAACCAACCAGTGAACAATAAGAAAAAGCTAAGAGGAAGTCTCTATTCAACGTCTGTCTGCATTTATTTCCCATGTGTGGTTTTATAGACTATATAACGGTTTCATTTCTCAGCCCGTCTCCCTAATAAGGCACGTACGCACCATTACCTACCCCACATTCTTGACTGATGATGTTTCCATAACCGCACTTCAGTTGTTTTTATAGTTTTTAGGATATTTTAATGGAACTTAGGATTCCAGCATAGTTAAAGAAGCCTGTTTTATTATTAACCAGAAGGTTTCTTTCTGCAAAGCTTCGACTTTATCATAGTTGGTCAGGTCAAAATAACCCACAAAATACAGTCAAAATCAAATAAAAAAATGTTAGTGTAATGTTAATGTTAGGCCAAATATGATGGCTTTTTAAGTAATATAATATAATTAGATATATATTAAATTATATCAGCTATAACTAAATAATATAATAAACTCTCTTCAACTTTAATGTAATATTAAATAACATTCTGCAGTTAAAATTATAATCAAGTACTTTACATGTGCTTTAGAATGTTATTCAGTACATCAAAATATGTGTACTTCTTTGAAGCATCACTGAAGGTTATTAAAACATATTGATTTAAAATGTAAAAGTCAAACATTTCCACAAGTGCACTTTTTAAAAGTGTTTTAAAAAACAGTAATGAAAGTGAACTCTTTAAGTACACACAAGATGCCTTTTATTTTATTAATATTATCTGCAGGTACAGTTTTCTATAAATATATGCTGTGAAGTATACTACAAGTGCACATTCAGTACAATTAAGCACACATTTTTTTCTATTTAGTAAGGGTTAAAAGGTTAGTTCACCCAAAAATGAAAATTTTGTCATTAATTACTCACCCTCATGTCGTTCCAAACCCGTAAGACCTTCGTTCATCTTCGGAACACAAATTAAGATATTTTTGATGAAATCCGAGAGCTTTCTGAACCTGCACAGACAGGAACGCAACAACCACGTTCAAGGTCCAGAAACATAGTAAGGACTTTGTTAAAATAGTCCATGTGACATCTGTGGTTCAACCGTAATTTTATGAATCTACGAGAATACTTTTTGTGCGCAAAGAAAACAAAAATAATGACTTGTTCTCTCCTGGGACAGTCCACCAACATTATTGAGAGTACCACGGCACGTGCGTGTGGTTCTGCTGATGTAGAACACGCATGTGTCGTGGTACTCATAGCTTCATAAAATTACAGTTGAACCACTGATGCCACATGGACTATTTTAATGATGTCCTTACTATGTTTTCGTGCATTGACTGTGGTAGTACCCTTGCTGTCTATGGAGGATCAGAGAGCTCTTGGATTTCATCAAAAATATCTTTTTTTTTCTGAAGATGGACGAAGGTCTTACAAGTTTGGAACGACATGAGGGTGAGTAATTAATGACAGAATTTTCATTTTTGGGTGACCTATCCCAAGGGGAATATGGTGATGCCACTCAACCTTTCCCATCTCAAACAGTCTAAACTGTCCTGAAGTGGACAGAAAGAAATAAGAGTGATACAGTAAACAGTGTACATGTGTGTATTGACCCCATTTCCATGTTTTCAACAGGCATCTCAGAAAGAGATCTGCTGAGCCAAAATCTAAAGTTAAAGTAACAGCGGCCAGGTACTATCTGAGGGAAAGAAACCAGTAGTGTTCTTTCCCTAGAGGACTCAAGCACATAGTGTGGCTTTAGTACACAACACTATTAGTGTTAGTCAACTAACTGCAGTTTCCAAGATTTAGTCAGTTATCCTTTTTTTGTGATGGGGTTGTGTTGATATGCTCTCTCAGCGATGTGTTTGTGTGAGTGAGTGAGTGTGTCTGTCTGAAAGAGTGGTGGACGAAACATTTCCCCATTAAGAACTTATTACCATCTGTTAGTTTTACTCACATGGTTTTGAGATGAGGCTGTGCTTGTGCAAGAGTAGAAGCTTTCTGAGGGAGATATCTTGAAACAGATACCCTCATACTAACACAAATCCCTCCTTGTGCTTACTGCATGTTCACTTCAGATATGTGTGCTTGTGCTTCTAATGTGCTAGTTTCAATGGATATAACAGGCATGGGAAAGTGAAATCACCACTAACATTTGTACTTTTTAATTGATGTGGTATTTTGTAGTTCTCATTCCAAAGTTTCTGTTACTGACACTTATGGTAATTATTATTATATATCAAATAATTATTAATTTAGTTAGCTTGTGCCTCACAGCATCTTGACAGTGTTAAGTCTTAATTAATTCGAAAAAGACTTGGATCTTATTGTCCTCTTTCCCATGCAGCTGATATGTATATGTGTGCATGTGCATGTTGGATGTTGCAGTGGACATTTGAGTGTTTCTGAATGCTTAATGGCTGTTTGCATTACAGGCAGGAGCCCAAAGCTAAGGCTATCACTAAAACTAGCACTAAGCCTAAACCGGGCAAATCAGCTGCAGCTAAAAGGTAACCTTGGTAAAAAAGGGGAAACATGCATTACCTTTTTGGCTCAGACCTTTCCAACCTTCTCTTTTGTTCAATAAATCTAAATGTTGTCAGTCAGAAATGCTGCATTACAGGTGATTCTGGGGCCTAGACAAAACCTATAGATTATAGAAATCGGTTAAAAGACAAAGAATTGTCTTTCTCAAATTATTATATGTGGAAATATGCAACCATTTAAAAGTTTGGGTTCAAGGTTTTTTTTTTTTTTTTGGGAAAAAATAAATAAATTATTCTGCAAGGAAACATTAAATTCATCAAAAGTGACATGCATAACAAAGATTTCTACTTCAAATAAATTCTGTTCTTTTGAAGTTGCTATTCATCAAAGAATCCTGAAAATATGTGTACTCAAAAATATTAAGCAGTACAGCTGTTTTCAACATTTCTTGAGCAGCAAATCAACATATTTGAATGATTTCTGAAGGATCATTTGACACTGAAGACTGGAGTAATGATGCTGAAAATTCAGCTTTGTTATCACAGGAATAAATTACATTTAAAAAAATGTTTTATATATATATATATAAATTTTAAATTGTAAAAAAAATTGTACCGACCATACCTTTGAACAGTAGTGTACATTATGCAATTTTGTTGTCCTGGTGAGTGTCTATCAATGAGAATGAATGAGTTTATTAAATTCTCTGAATAAAGGCTTAACCTGAGTATGGACCCTAATCTGAAAATAATGCATGTAAACATGGTCAGCGTCTCTTTCACTTCTCCTCTCACAGGCTGTATGCTGAACGGCAGAAGAATCACTTCCTGGTTCATTCAGTGGCATGCTCAGGCACAGAAGTACACTTGGCTGCATGTCCTCTGGAGTTTAACTATGGCAATGCCACAGAGTCGTGTCCTGGAGGAATGCCTGCTGTGGTCAGCTGTGTGCCCGGTCCACTGTACGCACAGAGCACTGCCATGAGGAAGAAACTCAAGATGCCGGTAAACTGTGTATTTCATTAGTGCTACATAAGTTTAGATTAGTTTATATATAAGTTTATATACTTATGTTAACTGTTTCTTTCTCTATTTTTTTCTCATCAGTCTACTATACGGCTGAAGGGTGGAGCGAAATATGGTGAGGGCCGTGTCGAGGTGTTGAAGGGCAGTGAATGGGGGACGATTTGTGATGATCGCTGGAACCTGCTCTCTGCCAACGTCGTATGCAGAGAACTGGGCTTCGGCTCTGCCAAAGAAGCCCTCACGGGTGCCCGCATGGGACAAGGTGAGATTGCAAAAGAGAGACAAAAACAAATTAGGGGATGGACCGATGTAATGGAACAAATACAGACACTGTTTTTCCTGCAGTGAAGGAATGCATGGAATGCTTTTATTACCTGACCAGTGACCTGGACTCTCATCTCTGAGGTTTTCAGAGATAATATAACTGCCCTCATTTATTACCTCCTTTATTGCCCAGATTTTTGCCCCAATTTGCAGTTTGGAGTCAATGCTAGTTGCTGAAATTTATTGCCAGTCTGCAGATTTAAGTTGACAGATCTCACAAAAAATCGCATACTGTATGATGGGCACAGACTTTTTAGCTTCAGACTTAAGATTTTTTGGATTGGACTGTATATACTTTATTATCCCTGTTAGGGAAAATTTGTCTTGGACTTAGACACACAGCTGGCACAGAAAAAAAACACATCAGACATACAACATCATGAGAAAAAAAGAACAATTCAGTTAAAATGCACAGTTTAAGAAAAGGAGGATATGCAGTCAGAGGATATCAAATGTTTGATATTTTGTTTTTATGTGTCATGCATCTTTATGTGTGAGTTTGTTGTGCACGACTTGAAAGTCTGGTAGTGTTTGATCCTTTGAAAAGTCATGTAGTGTATTCCAGCCATAAAAATACTGTACGGCACCAAAAAGGGAATGCGCCCCCGATCTACATAAATGCGTCTATGTTCGCGCGAATCATTCGTGATCCAGCTTCACCTACAGAAGAAGTGAGTGTAAGGTTTTTTTAACGAATCTTTGCAAATCGCCTTTCCTATTAATGTGCTAATTAGCAAGTTTCACGATGAATGCATCTAAAGTAAACAGTCTCTCTGAGAGCGGCTCGGAAGAAAGGGGCAGGGTCAACAGAGCTCATTAACATTTAAAGGAAAATGCTACAAATCTGCATGCTCTGAAAAGAGCTGTTTTTGACAGGGTAAAAAAGGTGTTTTTTACACTACCATTGAGAAATTTTAACCAAACTATGTTACAGACTTTTCATCAAGACCCTAAAGAATCATATCAACTTGTGGAAAATGGGCATCCTATGACCCCTTTAAACAAACTTGAAACACTTCACTTTAAGGGATAGATAACCCAAAAATGAGAATTCAGTCATCATTTACACAGCCTCATGTGGTTTCAAACTTGTATGGCTTTCTTTCTTCTGTAGAACAGAAAAGCTGATATTTTGAAGAATGATGGTAACCAATCAGTTTGGGTTCCCACTGGCTTTGATGAAATATTTTATTTATCCAAAATAAAACATTTGAAGAAGTTACTTTGTATGTTTGTGTGAGCTATTCTGCTATGTATGAGAGCCATGTGCATTTTTGGAGGCCTCAAGGCCAAACTGACTGACTGTGTAGGCCTCATGGCCTACAGTCAAACCAACATTTATTCAGACACCTTCAACATTTCTCACATTATTACAGTTTATTTGCTATAGTTTAGAAAATGGTAATAAAATATGACAAGAACTCAGAGTTAAACTGTGTCAGAACAAATTAATCTTGATAATGTCAGATAACTTTTATAGAAATGTAATGAATTAGGTTGAATAGCTGTCAGCTGTTAAATTTAAGTACATAATTAGATAATACCAATTTAGGACAACCAATTACCAAGCAATGCTTAATTTTGTTCAGTCTGTGGTGTAAAAAGTTCACATTAGCAATTGAAGAAAAACACTTAAGCAAAACACGCTCAGCTCAATGAAGAATTTTTGGGTATAATATGTCACAGTGCTATCCTCACTTACATAAATGAACTATAGTGTCCTGCACCCACTAATTTTGATAAAAATTATCAAAAATTATATCTGGTGTCTAAGTAATTTTTGGTTTGACTGTATGTGACTGCGCTTATGAATAGAGAATACAGAAAGAAGGACCGGAGATGGGCGATGCTACAGGATGAGATGCGGAAGTAGATAATGTGTGTACAACTCATTCAAATCCTGACAGCTTATTAAAATCCTAAAATGTACATGCCTTTGCAACCTTGGGCACCCGGAAAGTAGTAGATGAGAGAAGTTATCTTTTTGAAAAACAGACTAGCAGGGGGTTTTCTACAATGAAAGCAAGTGTTATGAAAAATAATAAACAATTGTGGAAAGTACTGGGAATGATGTATCAAAGAATGATCTGTACGCTCATTGGACAGTGACCAATAATGAAATTGTACAAAGATGGTAGTCTGGACAGAGAAAGATTCAGACTTCTGGAACTCCAACTCTGAATACTTTTGCAATACTTATACGTTTTTCTCCAAAACAACTTCCATTGTATTTTTTGTCCATACAATGAAAGTCAATGGGAACCGAAACTGTGTGTTACTTTTTTAGGGCCAATGTCTTTGCATGAATAAAACTGTTAGTTACACAATTTTATGTATTTTTTATTTTATTTTTTATGTCTCAGGGCTGGGGCCTATCCATATGAATGAGGTGCAGTGCACAGGTCATGAGCGCTCCCTGTGGAACTGCCGCTATAAAAACATCACAGCGGAGGACTGCAAACACACTGAAGATGCTTCAGTTCGCTGTAATGTTCCATATATGGGCTATGAGAAAACGGTCAGAGCAACACACATACTCACACTCATAACATTTCTTCTTGTGTGTTGATTTTGGTTACTTAACACATATGTCTTTTGTATGTCATTCTGTGTTTCCAGTGACTCTATATTACATTAATTTGCATCTATTGCTTGTTTCTCAATTCAAGAAGAACATAGCAATGATCAAATGAATTACATTTATTCATGATGTTGTGCTGCTCAGTATTCATTTTGGCTCAAAATGGATGACTGGAAATATTGGGTATCATTGTCTGGATCAAGAGACAATTACTGGAATTAATTAATCATCTGTTGTGATTTATTATGATTGATTCTCAACAGATGCAACGTACCTTAACCATTATGCACCTACTGCTAGAAACCTCTTATATGCATGTAGAATACACCGGGGCTAGTTGTCACATACTCAACTAGCAAAAAAATTTATATGGTCTCCACAAAAATATGAAGTAGCACAACTGGTTGAAACCTCTTAATATGCATGTAGAATACACCGGGCTAGTTGTCACATACTCAACTAGCAAAAAAATTTATATGGTCTCCACAAAAATATGATGTAGCACAACTGGTTGAACTGTTTTGAACATTAATAATAATAAATGTTTCTTGAGCACCAAATCAGCATATTAAATGATTTCTGCAAGATCACATGACACTGCAAACTGGGGTAATGGCTGCTGAAAATTAATCTTTGCCATTACAGGAGTAAATTACATTTTAATATCTATTTAAATAGAAAACAGTTATTTAAAATTGTAATACTATTTCACAATATTTCTGTTTTTACTGCATTTTTCATCAAATAAATACAGCCAGGGTGAGCATAAGAGAATTTCTTTCAAAAATATTTAAAAATACTTCTGACCCCAAATTTTTGAACGGTACAATCAAACAAGAGTCAACTATATAATGAAGGTAGATTTTAACTAAAAAAGTCCAACTGTGTTCTCAGTACAAGAATATTTTTCATAAATGTCGGTCAGTGCAAGTTGTCACATAGGTTTTAATAGTTCTAATTTTATACATATTTTAATTTTTGTTGCCCAAAACAATGGTATAGTAGTTTTATTGGTAGTTTATTGGTTAGTTTTATTATTACATAATTGTTTACTGCTTAAATTTACCCCATATAATATAACAACCCCACTATGTATCTTTCCTTTCTTTGGCAAGGAAATATTATAAGTTTTTTTGTTGCCAAAACTGACTTTTGAAATAAACTTAACAAAAAAACACCTCAAGAAGCATTCTTTAGAGTAAGAAGTGTGACAATTAGCCTCGGTCTCCTGTATATTTCTAGTTGAACTCCCTCTTACCCCTCGTTCCTGGTTGTGCCCTGCTCAGGTGCGCATCTTAGGGGGCCGAACTCGCTACGAGGGCCGTGTGGAGGTGTTATATACTGAGACTAACGGGACGCTGCGCTGGGGCCTGATCTGTGGAGAAGGCTGGGGAACTGAGGAGGCCATGGTTGTGTGCAAATAGTTCTAATTTTATACATATTTTAATTTTTGTTGCCCAAAACAATGGTATAGTAGTTTTATTGGTAGTTTATTGGTTAGTTTTATTATTACATAATTGTTTACTGCTTAAATTTACCCCATATAATATAACAACCCCACTATGTATCTTTCCTTTCTTTGGCAAGGAAATATTATAAGTTTTTTTGTTGCCAAAACTGACTTTTGAAATAAACTTCACAAAAAAACACCTCAAGAAGCATTCTTTAGAGTAAGAAGTGTGACAATTAGCCTCGGTCTCCTGTATATTTCTAGTTGAACTCCCTCTTACCCCTCGTTCCTGGTTGTGCCCTGCTCAGGTGCGCATCTTAGGGGGCCGAACTCGCTACGAGGGCCGTGTGGAGGTGTTATATACTGAGACTAACGGGACGCTGCGCTGGGGCCTGATCTGTGGAGAAGGCTGGGGAACTGAGGAGGCCATGGTTGTGTGCAGGCAGCTGGGCCTCGGGTACGCCAACCATGGCCTACAAGTAGGATGCTAACAGTAACAGCAACACACACTTGCATGCTAACAATGCCTTGAACTTTCTGCTGCCATAGAAAAAATCAGATGATGCTGGCTTACACACTACAACATACATTTTTCAAAGCCTTGAACTTTGAAAACGCACCACATGAGTCAGTGCATGTAGTACAGGGACGGACAGAAATAAACCTGCTGAAAAGATCAGTCAGCTCAAGTTTGGTTATTGAACAGCTTGGTTAAACTACAGGCTCCTGGTCTCCTTAGCAGGGTCGTCTTTCTGTGTATGTGGGTAAGCAGCGAATGGCAGGAGACAGATGGGTGAGCGGGGTAAGGTGTGAGTGTGTTTGACGTGGCGTAGGTTGTGATTGCAGGTGCGTCTGTCAGGTGGGCGCTCGCAGTATGAAGGGCGAGTGGAGGTGCGGGTGGGGCAGCGGTGGGGCAGTGTATGCAGTGAGGGCTGGACCACCAAAGAGGCCATGGTGGCATGCAGGCAGCTAGGGCTGGGGTTCAGCATGCATGCTATTACAGTGAGTACATGACATACACACATGCGCGCAGATGCAGCTCTATTCTTTCACCAGGAATGCTGTTTTTTAGGCAACACGAATGCTTGTAAATTACTTATTATACTTATTTAAGTGGAGCACTTTTGTGGTAGCTGTATAGACTATCGAACAGCCATTGATTATTTATTTTTTTAAGTTGGTCCACATGTCTGGTCATGTTTTACCCTAAAAGAAAGAAATTATAGAAATTGTATTGTAGGACCAAGATTTTTAAATGAGTAAATCATTTTTTGTAAACATATATATATATATATATATATATATATACACACACACATATATACACGTTT